GGACCCTGTGAGTTCTAGTCCCACCTTAGGCATGAAAGCCAGCTGGGTGACATTGGGCCAATGACTAGGAGATGGTGAGTTCTAGTTCTACCCTAGGCATGAAGGCCCTCGGGGTGTCTTTGACCAATCCCCAGGAGAGAGAGTGAGTTCTAGTCCCTCCTTAGGCCTGAAACCAGGCCGGGCAAACTTCTTCACGCTTTCTCTCAGCCCAACCCATCTCACAGGGTTGTTGTTGTGGGGGAATAAAATAAGAGGAATTATTATCCCTGCCTTTGAGTTACTTATAAAAAAATAATAATACAGGCGAAATAAAACTATCATAAATAAATAAAGGCTTCGGGAAATTCCTCTGATACCTTTTCGCCTCGGAGACTGGAGACTCTCCAGTGAGAACAAACCCTGCCCGCTCGTGAAGAACAAACACTCGGGATTTAACAAATAACTCTGATTTTAAACTGCCCAAGCGGTCTCCTAATTTCCTTGCTTGGACTCTGTGGATTAAAGGGCGATTAAAGGTCCTTCTGACTATTTTTTTTTTCGTCAGTTGTGCGGGGGGTGGGGGGATATTACTGTGGGCCTCAGCTGGCACCCAGATCCTAAACGGCTTCGAAATAAAACTGCGTGAAAGAGGCTAAATCCTTTCTAATCCTGACCTTTCCGTCAAGCCCTTTTTAAAAATAACAACGCGGTGAAATGTTAATTCATCCACAAGAATTGCTGTTTTAAAGGGCAGCGAGAAAACAAAACAACGGTTGCAAATAAGCCAGAGGGGAGAGACTGACCAAGGAAATGAAGACCCACCGAAGCTGCAGGAATTATTTGAGAATAAATTATTTGGGAATGGGTGTAATTTTCCCCTCCGGATGCAGCTACAAGGCCTTGCATGCCAAAACAGCTACAGGTAGTCCTCGACCTACAGCAGTTCACTTAATGACCATTCAGAGTTACAATGGCACTGAAAAAAGTGACTTACAACCATGCTTCACACTTACAGCCTTTGCAGCCTCCCCCCTGGTCACGTGATTTACATCCAGAGGCTCACTTTTATGACGGGTGCAGCATCCCGGAACCACGCAATCCCCTTTTGCAACAGGGGAAGCCAGATTCACTTAACGACCATGTGACTTAATTTAACTGCAGTGGGTTCGCTTAACAAATGAGGTGAGGAAAGTCAAGAAACGGAGCACGCTCGCTTTAACAAATGCCTCACTTAGCAACGTAAACGTTGGCCTCCTTTGTGGTCGTACGTTGAGGACTACCTGTAGACACAAAGATAGTTTTTGTGATGACATGGGACATGACACAAAAATAACAAAGTCACCAAAGTAGAATAAATTCTCTTTAATGCCTCCAACTTGGCCCCCAATGTCCAATTACCCTCGGCTGGATAACAAACTCTTCAAAAAACAGTCTATGAAGGGCAGAAATGCAGTCAGAACCCTAAGTAAAGATAATTAGAAATTTAAAAACTCAACACAAACTATACTGAAGTAATTAACACGGCAGGCTAGGATGATAAATTGCAGACTTTCAAAGGATAACGCAGCAACCACAGTTTGGAGGACGCCAAAACCCAGATAAGCCTCCACCAAGATAATGCACACTTTGCTTCCAGCAAGGAACCGTGTGCAAACGCCCCTCTTATATCCTGTTCTCCCAGCTGCAACCAATGAAAGGGATCAGGGCCTTCTTCTCTCTCGCAAGCCACATTGCTCCCTTCTCCGTTCCTCCCTGCGTGCCCTAGGATGAAGAGGGGAGGGCCCTGGGTCTTCCTCTGAATGCCCAGTCGGACTGTGCCCTTCCCCCGTTTCTTCCACAGCCATCGGAGCCACACTCCCACTCCCTGTCAGCTGCTCAATCTCCCCCTCAGAATCAGACTCCAACAAGAGCGTGACAGTTTTTTTTCCCCCTTGTGCCATCGCTCTGCTAAACACCTCATTCCCACAGGCCTGTCTTGTGCCTACATATATTCACCCATGTAGCAGGGCTATATTGCTATTATCCTTCTCATCTTTCCATCTTTCCTACTACCTTCTCCTATCGGTAGCTTTTGATTTATCCCTTGTTTGCATCTTACGATCTACCGTATCCCTTGGCTGTTGGTATGCACATGGAGAGACAAGTTCCTTGTGTGTCCAATCACACTTGGCCAATAAAGAATATCCCAATTCCAGTGTTAAATATGAAGAACAGAGCCAAAACAGACAAAGAGAATGGAGTGATTCAGAGGTCATTTTGGTATGCCACGTATTTGCATCACAAATACATCCGGTATCACAACAGTTGATATTTAAAACATTACCTTCTCATGCCCAGCTCAATTCCGATACCGTAAAGTCAGGCTTAGCCATTCTAGCTTTAAATTAGTATTTTTCCTGTCCTTTAGAAATGTTCTTCAGAATAGTTCTTCAGAAAAAAACTAACTGTTAGAATAAAATAGAATAACAGTTGGAAGGGACCTTGGAGGTCTTCTAGTCCAACCCCGTGCTCAGGCAGGAAACCCTACACGTCAGACAAATGGTTGTCCAATCTCTTCTTTAAAACTTCCAGCGATAGAGCATTCACAACTTCTGGAGGCAAGTTGTTCCACTGGTTAACTGTTCTCACAGTCAGGAAATTTCTCCTTAGTTCTAAGTTGCTTCTCTCCTTGATTAGTTTCCATCCGTTGCTTCTTGTCCTGCCCTCAGGAGCTTTGGAGAATAGCTTGACTGTTCAGAGTTTTACAGCATTAATTCAGCGCCAGAAAAATAAACACAGATGGCTGATGCTTCATTGAACGTCTTTATAAACATATGAAATAATTCTTTTTACAAACCAGTTGTAGATTTCCCCAACGTGGAGCAAACTCAAACAGAAGTAGACATATGTTACAAGTGCAGAGCTTCAGCAGTAACTTCAGCAGCTCAGCAACAGACATCAGTTTCACTTTAGTTCAGCAAGCAAGCAGAGGAGAGAAAGCAGTTTCACTCCATTAGACAAACTCAGAGCTTAACATAGCTGCAGAGTTGCAGAGCTTAATATAGAGCCACATTTAGACTACTTTCTAGTTTCAGTTTCCAAACAGTTTTCATTGGCTGACTTAGTTGCTATGCCTCTTCATTGGCTGACCTTGTTACCATGCTCTATTCCAGTTCATGAATATACTCTGACATTGACCCCCCCTCTTATCTGTGGCAGCCCCTCAAATACTGGAACACTGCTATCATGTCCCCCCTAATTCTTCTTTTCATTAGCCTTGACATACCCAATTCCTGCAGCCGTTCTTCGTACGTTTCAGCCTCCAGTCCTCTTTGTTGCTCTTCTCTGCACTCTTTCTAGAGTCTCAACATCTTTTTTTTTTTACATCGTGGCGACCAAAACTGGTATGCAGCATTCCAAGTGTGGCCTTACCAAGACCTTATAAAGTGGTATTAACATTTCACGTGATCTTGATTCTATCCCTCTGTTAATGCAGCCTAAGATTGTGTTGGCTTTTTTGGCGGCGGCTGCCCACGGCTGGCTCATATTTAAGTCATTGTCCACTAGGACTTCAAGATCCTTCTTCACAGTTACTACTATTGAGTCAAGTACCGTTTATACTGCACCTGTATTTAACCTTTTGGCTAGCATGTAACGTTCTGGTTTTTCTCGTCCTATTCCAGATGTCAACAGCTGGCTGCTTACCTTTGGTTTCCAGCTGCACAACGTTATCCCTGGCTATCCTAAACCTGACATGAACGCTATGGAGCCATCCTACGAGCTCACACGCACCCAGCTGAAAACCCAGGAATGGGACAACAGCAAGGTAACTAGTGTGACTTTTCAGACACACACACACACACACCCCAGCTTCTCCGGCTTCCAAAAAGACCCACTTTTGAATGGTCGCTACTTTATCCCAGGGGAAACGTTCATCAGGAAGTGGAAAACATGTACGGATCGTCCTTGACTTAACAATCATTTGCTTTAACGACCGTTCAAAGTTACAATGGCGCTGAAAAAAAAGTGACTTAGGTGTCAACTCATAAAATATTTCTCTGGTCTTGTTAGAGTTGCCAACAGAAAGGGAGCGGGGAGGAAAGGGGTTTGGAAAAAGCAGTGCGGCAGCTTGCAAACCGAAAGCGCGTTCCATGAATGTTTTTCAAAGATAGTAACTAGGTGACCGAAGTTTCTGCCTTGCAAAATTCTAACCGGTGAGCACGATTGAATGACTCTGGGCTACGGAGGTGTCCCATTGGAGAATATGAATTATGATACACCCAGGGGGTGGGGAGAAAACCAGGGTCAAGGGTGACAGTGAATGATGTGCCTCAGAGTCCGCTACACCCAGGCAGTGCCGGCATGTTAACTCCCAATAAATCCTTTGGAAGTTTTGGAAGTTTGGCTCGAGACTCAGGATTTAAATGGGGGGTAACTGCCGGAATCCTGACATTAGGATTGTTTTTCACGCTTCCAACCTTTGCAGCATCCCAATGGACACATAATCCTAATTCAGGTGCTTGGCAACCGATTCATATTTACGATGGTTGCAGTGTCCCAGAATTATGTGATCCCCTTTTGCGATCTTCTGACGAGCAAAGTCAACGGGAAATCCAAATTCACTCAGCAACTGTGTTACTAACGGAACAACTGTGATGATTCGCTTAACTGTGGCCAGAAAGGTCATAAAATGAGGCAAAACGCACCTCGCAACTTTCTTGCTTAGCAACAGAAACTTTGGACTCTGTTATGGACCACCTGTAGTCTTTCTGACGTTCTGCTACTCTTCTACTGGTAGTCCTCGACTTAAGACTGGTCGCTTTAGCGACTATTCGAAGTTACAACAGAACGTTAAAAAAAAAAAAGAGAGCTACTTACAACCCAGATTCAAAGTCCCAACGGTGCCCAACTCTCCCATTGGCAGGAGCGCCCTTGGCCACTTTGCAACCAGCTCTCCTCTATAGCCATTTGCAGCATCCCGCGGTCATGTGACCACGATTTATAATCGGTTCCTTGCAAGAGGAAGCAAGAAGCATTTATCTCTAAAAGCTCTCCTTGCAAAAATAGAAATGGAAAAATGCAAAATGGTGGAGTTCAAAGGAGCCTTGGGGGACTTCTAGTCGAACCCCTGACCAAGCAGAAAATCCTAGACCATTTCAGACAAATGGTTGTCTAATCTCTCCTTTAAAACTTCCGCTGTTGGAGCACCCACAACTTTTTAGAGGCAAGCTGTTCTACTGGTTAATCGTTCTCATCATTAGCAAATTTCTCCTTAACTCTAGGTTGGATCTCTCCTTGATTGGTTTCCATCCGTTGCTTCTTGTCTTGCCTTCAGGTGCCTTGGGGAATAGCTTGACTCCCTCTTCTTTGGGGCAGCCCCTCAAATATTGGAAGACTGCTATCATAATTCTAGACATACCCATTTCCTGAAACCGTTCTTGGTATGTTTTAGCCTCCGGACCAAATTTAAAAACCAGGCCACACAATAATACCTCTAGATTGCAGATTTTGTTATTGAGACTTTGGAAAAAGTTCAGAGAAGAGCAACTAAGACGATGAAAGGCCTGGGAACTAAAACATACGAAGAACGGTTGGAGGATTTGGGTTTGGCTAGTCTCGAGAAAAGAAGGATCAGGGGAGACATGATAGCGGTATTCAAGTGTTTGAGGGACTGCCACAAAGAAGAGGGGGTCAAATTGTTCTCCAAAGCTCCTGAAGGCTGGACAAGAAGCAATGGATGGAAACTAACCAAGGAGAGAAGCAACCTAGAATTAAGGAGAAATTTCCTAACAGTGAGGACAATCAACCAGTGGAACAACTTTGCCTCCAGAAGTTGTGGTGGCTCCAACACTGGAGGTTTTTAAGAAGAGATTGGATGACCATTTGTCTGGAATGGCATTGGCTCTCCTGCTTGAGCACGGGGTTGGACTAGAAGACCTCCAAGGTCCCTTCCAGCTCTATTCTGATTCAGACAACGAGTCCCCGTAGCCAACGCCACATTTGCTTTAACAAACACTGCAATAAAGGCCTTAAAATCGAGCACGATCCTATATTGATCCACTTAATGACTGGCATAAATTACGATCGTTGTTCCAGGCTCAATTATGTCGCAACTGAAGGACTGCCTGTACAGCAGTGTTTTTCAAAACTTGGCAATGTTAAGATATCTGGATTCCAACTCCTCAAATTCCAGCATGGGAGTTGAAGTCCACACATCTTAAAATTCGCCATGTTTGAAAAAAACCTCGCTCTCTAGCACGAAAAGTTTTGTCCTTTTATCAGGTAAACACGATCTCCCCTCTAATATTTCCTGTTTTGTTTTGTTTTTCCCTTTCTTCCTTCCTTCCTTCCTTTGGGGAAAGGAAAGACTGAAGCAGCACGGGGAACAAATTTCAAAGGCGAGACCATCTATCTCTTCTTTGAACTCTGCCTAATCTGTTTGTGTCCCTTTTAAAAAAACAAAAACATTTGGAGCCCCAGAGCCCCAGGAAGTTTTTTTTTTATCTTTCTGAGGAGAAATCAACTCTTCCCCCCCCCCCTGCATTACTTTATTATTTAAAAGGCTGTATTCAAGGTCATTCTTTCTTCAAATGAAGCGGCTTTCCAAAGACCCAGGACTTATTTTTGAGATAACAAAGAGGTTTTGTTTTGTTTTTAATTACAATTCCAGTGATGTTCATGATAACTGTTTCATTGTGGCTGGCAAATATCCTGAGCTACAGGGCTAAAATTGCCTTAAAAAATGGCACAACTCTGAATTTTCGAGAAACTCCCCATTATTTAAGAACAATCAACCCATGGAACAGAAGTTGCCCTTGGAAATTGTGGGAGCACCATCACTTGAGACTTTCAAGAAGAGATTGGACTGCCATTTGTCAGAAATGGTGTAGGGTCTCCCGCTTGGGTGGCGGGCTGGACTAGATGATCTACAAGGTCCCTTCCAACTCTGGTTATCTGTTATTTTGGCCCAAACGACAGGCAGTCCTCAACTTAACGGCGGCAATTGGGACCAGAATTTTCATTGCTGAGCAACGCCACTGTTAAATGACTTGGCCCTGATTTTACCACTGCCGTTGTTAAGTGAATCACCCAGTCATTAAGGGAATCAGACCTTCCTTATTGACTTTGGTTGTCAGAAGCTGGCTGGGAAGGTCACCCAAAACCCCAAGACTGTGCAACCGTCATTAATACATATCGGTTACCAAGTGACCGAATTTTGATCACATGACTGAGAACGTTGCGGTGGTTGTAAGACGAGGACTGGTTGTAAGTCTTTTTTTTTTAGTGCTTTTGTTACTTTGAACAGTCACTGAAGAAATGTTGTAAGACTGAGGGCTGTTTGTAAGTAATTTGTGAGGGCTTTATGATCATCTAAGCAAGACCCTTCTTAAGGGAGATTTGCTCCGTTTTATGTCCTTCCTTGCCACGGTTGTTAAAGTGAATCCAGCTTCCCCAATTGACTTTACTTGTCTGAAGGTCGCAAAGGTTGATCATGTGAACACACACCCCCGGGACTCTGCCACTGTCATAAATATGAACCAGTTGCCAAGCGTCTGAATTTTGATCATGCAGATGCGGTAAGTGTGAAAAACTGGTCATAAGTCACTTTTTTTCAGTGCCATTGTAACTTTAAACAGTCATTAAATGAATGTTTGTAAGTCGAGGACTACCCTGTATAATGGGCTCACTTAAAGACCGCTACATTCATTTAATGACCATGGTATTTGCTTAACAACTGCCATGAAAAGTTAACAAAAATCAGGCACAGTCACGTGGTTCCCCTGCTTAAAGACATCCCCGACTTACAACCATAATAGCAATAGCCCTTAGATTATATACTGCTTCCCAGTGCTTTACAGCCCTCTCTAAGCAGTTCACAGAATCAGCCTCTTTTCCCCAACAATCTGGGTCCTCATTTTACCCACCTCGGAAGGACAGAAGGCTGAGTCAACTTTGAGCTGGTCAGGATCGAACTGCAAAATTTCAGGCAGCCGGCAGTCAGCAGAAGTAGCCTGCAGTACTGCACTTTCACCACTGCGCCACCGTGGCTCTAATTCCGGTTGTGAGTTCAGGGCCCACCTGTAGACGTTGCCATACATCTCTCTTGTGTCTAACACGAGTTCCTCTCTTTTCAATCTCCCTTCCTGCCCATCTTCAGTCGATCTTAGGGGTGCAGTGCGAAGTCCAGAAACAACTGAAGGCCTTCGTCACGTTGGAGAGCTTCGAACAGATCTACACGTCGAGCATCGCCGGGTGCCAGGAAGTCCAGGAGAACCGCCATTTTGCCTCGGGAGACTCCATCATCGGCAAGGGGGTCAAGTTTGCCATGAAAGATGGCCGGGTGGCCACTGATATCATCAGTGCGGCGAACGAGGACGGGCGGCGAGTCGCCGCCATCCTCAACAACGCCTATTATCTGGAGAACTTGCACTTCACCGTCGACGGCACGGACACCCACTACTTTGTCAAGCCGGGGTCGTCGGAAAGCGACTTGTCCATCCTCGGCCTCAGCGGCGGGCGGCGGACCTTGGAGAATGGTGTGAACGTCACCGTCTCCCAAATCAACGCCGTGCTCAGCGGGAGGACTAGACGCTACACGGACATCTCGCTCCAGTTTGGAGCCCTGTGCCTCAACACCCGATACGGGACCACGTTGGACGAGGAGAAGACACGCGTCTTGGAACTGGCCAGGCAACGGGCCGTGGCCCACGCCTGGGCCCGGGAGCAACAGAGACTGCAGGACGGGGAGGAGGGTAGCCGCTCCTGGACAGAGGGGGAAAAGCAGCAACTGCTGAACACGGGACTCGTTCAGGGGTACGACGGCTACTTCGTCATCTCCGCCGAACAATACCCAGAACTGTCCGACAGCGCAAACAATATCCATTTTATGCGACAGAGCGAGATGGGGAGAAGGTGACAGAGAGGGGATGATGCATTAACTTCTTGCCAAAGACAGCTGCTTGAGACTGTGACGTCCTTGAGCCTTCTTTTTCTTTCTTTCTTTCTTTTTTTTCTAAAGAAAAAAGAAAAACAAACACACAAAGAACTTTACGGAAAACAGGCAAGGTGGAGGAAGAAAACGGTGGCACCATAGCTCAGGCAACATCCTTTATTTTAGATTTAATTTTTAATTTTAATATTTTTTTTAAAGTGGCTTTCTCACCTTTGGCTGTTTTTCCATCCTTCCCCCTCCCCTTTCTCTGCGCCTATCCTGTCTTCTCTTTTTGGAAGTGTCATTTCGCCATTGTGTGTGAGCCCTTTGTGCAAAAATGCTGGAAGGTTGGGGAAGGCGTTGGTTTAAATCTCCTGATTTCTGTTCATTGGGTTTTCTTTCGTTGGGTTTCTTTTTTTTTTTAATGGGGTGGAAAAAAAGAAGAGAAAAAAAGAGCCTCTGTATTAGGTTTGGGTGAACCTTTCCTAGTGGGGTTGGAGAAAAAAAATATATAGATATATATATATATATAAGAGGATTTATGAGGAACGAAAACAGGAAGAAGGAGGCATCACGGAGAAGAAAAATCCACAATTTTCCCGCAAAGCTTATGCGAAGAAACGAAGGGGGGGGGTTTACACACCTCTCCAGGTTTGAAATGGCCCTTCAAACATTTTGTGAGCCTCCAAACAAGAACTTTCCATTTTTTAACATTTCTTTCTGGATAACCCTGCTGCTTCGGGTTATTTCCTGCCGAAGGAGGCCAAACGGCTGCATCTTCAGACTTGTGAGCTCAATCCTTTCTCTTTTTTAATTTTTATTTTTTAAAAGGGTGGTTTTTTTTACTACAACAGACTATTTTGTTCACCGGTTTGTTTTCTGCTGTTGCGTGACAAGAGGACGTGTCTTTTTTTGTCATTCGGGGGGAAAAAAAACCCATAGCAGCTAATCGGAGCGGGGTGGGAAAGGAAAGAAGAAAAAAAGGAAAAAATGATACTATTGCTGCACATGCTGTTAGATGGGAACCACCAATGATGTATATTTGTCAACAGTAAACCCTCCTTAAATATATAGTATTTCTGTACACCAAGTGAAGCGTGTTTAACTTTTGAGGATGCCATCTCTTCTCCGACCATGGGGTTTTTTGTCTAGAGTTAGGGCCATCCTTAATGACGAAATCTCAGTTCCTCCTAATATATATCCAGTGGGTATATATATATTTTTCAGAGCCAGTTTAGATACTGATGGGAGAGATCCAGCAAGCGCCTCCTATTTGATTTGACTTTTTTAATTTTTATTTTAATGAAGCATCTTAGTTGATAAAAGAGATGCTTCCTTGTTTCTCCACGGGCCACTTCTACCAAAATGGTCTTCGCCGGACATTAGGAGCCAAGAACATCTTAGTTAGAGAAGGACAGGAACGTGCGTCCAGCTTCATTCTGTCCCATAATTTCAAAACTGTGGCAGCTTTGGCAGGTAGTCCTCAACTTATGGCCACAATTGAGCCCAAAATTTATTTCTGCTGAGAGAGACATGATTTTTGCCCCATTTTACGACCTTTTCTCACCACGTTTGTTCAGCGAATCACTGCAGTTGTCAAATTAGCAACACTGCCATTAAGTGAATCTGGCTTGCCCCATTCACTTTGCTTGCCAGAAGGTCGCAAAAGGGGATCGCGTGACCCCTCCGGAACACTGCAACAGTCGTAAATGTGAGTCAGTTGTCAAGCATTCGAATGTAAGTCCCGTGATCACACGGGGCTGCTGCAACGTCCCTAAAGTGTGAAAAATGGTCATAAGCAGGGGTGGGATTCTACCAGTTCGCACCTATTCGCTAGAACCGGTTGTTAACATTCTAAGCAGTTGGGAGAACCGGTTGTTAGAAGAAATTACTGGGCTAATCCTGTAAGGAAGGCAGGAAGGAAACATTCTGGTGTTGCTTACAGAAACTCTCTCCGTTAACCCTTATTTACATTCTTGGCAGGACTAGACTTCCTGTCTCAGGAACTTCTCTGAAGTCTTTTTTCCCCTCCTTTGCTGGTACTTTGCTTGTGTGGAGTGACCATTCAAAGTTACAATGGCACTGAAAAAAGTGACTTATGACCCTTTTTCACACTTACGACTGTTGCAGCATCCCCACAGTCATGAGAGGCCAGGCGAGGAGATGCGTGCCTCGATGTGAGTGATGTTGAGTTGGCCACGCCCAGCCAATAACATGACCACCAAGCCATGCCCACAGAACCGGTTGTTAAAAAATTTGAATCCCACCCCTGGTCACTTTTTTCAGTGCCGTTGTAACTTCGAGCTGTTGCAGGTCGAGGACTGCCTGTATGTACTGCCTCTTTGCAAAGAAATCTATTCCCAGGACTGCCGGAAATAGTGTTAACCCAGATGTGCCTGGATCAGTTGCTTTTGTGTATAAATTATTTTCACCCAACAGAAGAGATTTTCCAAAGGCTTCGATTTGGTGGAGATAGGGCTAACATCTGGAAATGAGTGGCACTGGGTGAGCTGAAGGGCAAGCATGACAGACATGTTATCCCTTTTTTTTTTCCATCTCAACTTCATATTTTTACATCGTTTTTCACACATAAACCCCCCCTCCCACCCGGACACTTAAAGCTTTCTGAATAGAACCGTGAGATTTCATATCATGAGATTAAAATCTATCCAGAGCTGCTTTCTATTTTAAAAAATGCTGATTTCTTGATAGAGGTATCAAGGTGAACCGAATTTATAAATGAAAATTCTTACAATGGGAAGAAACATGTTCTTCCCGCACTAAAGGAGGACCTTACCCATCCAGGTTTTGGGGCTGAGTCCAAGGAAATTTGTGTTTTGAGTACGGCAAGACGAAAGGTTACCCTGAGATAGCCGTTTTATTAGTTTTTCTTGAAGCCAAAGCCATGCCGTCACGGTGTGACTTCTTGTTATCCCTTCTAAAAATGACATTTCACCCATCTATAGGAAACCAGAGTGTTTGCTGATTGTTTCCGAATAGCTTGTTTCCAGATACATTTAACGTTTCAACCCTAGGCTGGGAAATGGAAAATTAAAAGGTTGGGAAAACGGAGAATTAAAAGGTTGGGAAATGGAGAATTAAAATCCAAAGCAGCAGGAGCGACCTCAAGTTTTGTTAATGGTTGTGATGCTTGATTTTATCAGTTGAAGATGCTGACTGCAGGGTAAGCATGCAACAAAATATGAGCGTTATGATCCAAATAAATAAATAGGTGATGGGAAACGCAACGTTCCATGAAGACTAAGCTAGAGCTTTTCAAGAGCCATTGAATTAAAACTCTGTTGGGTTTTTGAGCAGCCCATGGTTTTTTTGACTTAGTTCTTCACGGACAACCAGAACAATTCAGTAAAATTTGAGGAACTGATAGCAAAGGATTTCATCCTGTTCAGCTAAGACCTCCCAAATATATGTGGGCATCTGTCTAGTCAGAGCCTGGGACAATTTTCTTGGTGTTTCTTGCCAAACTTGGCAACTTTTTACAAAGATGGCACTCCCACACTCTGCACGCCAGGGGTATATCTAGGCCAGAGATGTCCAACCTTGGCAACTGTGAAGACTCATAGATTTCATCTCCCAGCACGGTTGACTGGGGGATTCTGGGAGTTGAAGTCCACAAGTCTTCAAAATTCAACAAATTTGGAGATCCCTGTTCTAGAGCATACGACGTATCTCATAGGAGTCTTCATAATGGGGCAATCATTCAAACTCCCGGAATTCCTAGCCAGGATCCAAGATTATGCTGAGTTCTGGGAATTGCAGTCCAAACTTCTATAGAAGGTGCCAGGTTGAGGAAGGACAATATAGGTGACATCCTGCAGATATTTGGTATCTTTGATGGATAAGAAGATTGTATTTTATATACATATATATATGTATGGTATTCAGCTCTGTTCGGGTATTTTCCCACGTCATTATAGTTGTGCTTTTAAAGTTGTAGCGACATTTCAGCAAAATCTCATCTGCCATACAAAAGCCTGATGATGACAAGATGAGATTCTGCTGAAACGTCACTACAAACTTTAAAAGTACAACTATAATGACGTGGGAAAATACCTGAACAAAGCTGAATACCATACATATAAATACCTGCGAAAACTTCCTATCCCAGAATTGCCTGACCAGAAAATAATGCAAAATTTATTTTAAAAGAAGCAAAAGAGAAATGCGATAGAAGCTTGCATTGAAATTTATAGCTTGGCTTCTTGCTCAAATGTTATCATGGATGAAAAGCAGAAATTCTTATGCTTGGCACAATTAAAGTGGTTTAGCATAGTTTAGTGCTCCTTCTGTGTGGCATACTCTTCCTACATACCTGGAACTCTTTCACAAGGGCGTATCTGTTAAGGAACCAAAATAAACCCAGTTGTTACTTGCTTTTGTGTCCTAGAACACACAATATTTCTCCACTAGAATTGCCAAAACAGATCACAATAGTGGCAGTTATCCACACTTCACTTCTTAGCATGTCCCTGCAAAACAAAACAAAAAAAAAGTGGAAACTAAATTCGTTAGAGTGATCCTCCCCAATCCTAGCTCCTTTAACTATTGGGATTGAGCTAATACTTGTAGGAGTTGCAAACAACAGTTACATCAAACTCTAAGGTAGGGGTATCCAGCCTTGGCAAGTTTTAAGATTTGTGGACTTCAACTTCCAGAATTCTCCCGTCAACATGGCAGGCTGGGGAATTCTGGGAGTTAAAGTCCACAAGTCTTAAAAGTTGCCAAGGAGTCAGTTTAGGCAAAACTGCTACTGATCCTTTGAGGCAAAGATTTTGATTTGTATCACAAATTAATACAAACTCTTGGCATCTCTCTCCCTCAACACTCAATCCAATGTCACTTCTTCGGTTTGCCAATTTTGTGGCCACCATTCACCCGTTTTTCTCCAGGCGGTGACAAGAACCTTGCTTTTAGGATCAAACAATTCCCACCATCCTGATTTTGCCTCCAAGACAAGAAATAAATCAGTTTTCTCTTCTTTGTAAAGCCTCCACACGCTTTACAAAT